GTTTCGCTTTTCATTAAACAAATATCCAAACACTTTTGCCGCTGATCCGGCGACACAGATTGCGAGCCCGCTTGGAGTTCGCGTCCCTGGGACTGAGTTGGAGTCCGAGTCCATTTTCCATTTCAATTCTGAGACCGGCTGGCGACAAAAGGTCTACCAAAGTGTTGCCAACTTGTTAATGAAGTTGAGTCCCCCTTGTTATTTTCTGCCTCTTGTTCCTGCGCGTGCTGGAAGACGACTCTTTAATCGAACCGGTCAAGAGACTTGACACCAAATTATTTCTGAATAAACTTTAAGAATTTTGGAGGCTCATAATATCATCTAATTTTGTCGTTTTTTGAGATGAGAAAACTATAAGATTTGCATGGTATTATAATTTTTATCAACCGCAAACTACGGGGGTATACAAACTTTAGTTTCCCAAAGTTACTTTATTTGCTTCTTTTAATTAAAATTAAGTACAAAGTTCTCAAAGATTATATTCAAACCTATTCTCGAATAAATTAATGAAAACTCCAATATTTGCATGTTTTGTTATTTTTCCCTTCAATTTATTCAATCAACTGAAGAATCCTCGCTTTTTGCCTGGTTCTCAGCCTCAAGCCAGCTCATCTTTCAGCATCGCCTCCCGCATTAGCCAGCTTCATTAAGGCTAACACGCCCCCGACATGGAGAGAACGATCAATGAGCAATGATTAATCGACGACTCGAATGCATAAACATTCGACGGCACACAACACAATCAAATTAAGCCAACCAATAAATGTGAGCCAATTATTAAAACCTAATTTTGATGGTAGACACCGGAGTCTGATGCCCGATTTCACAGCTCCTCCGCCCTCGCCCTTGCCCTTGTTGCCCCGCCCCCAGGTCTCGAACAGATCTCATCATCGAGTCGGGGCCATCAGTGGCGGCGGCTAATGAGCCGACATGCACTTGGCCAACCGACCAGCCGGCCGGCCAGCAACTAATCAAGCTGTTCAAGCTGCCAACTTTGATGCATTTCCCAAATTGAGGCCCCCGCGGGATTGATGGCCACGGGCATTCCGAGTGCCTCTCTGACATATGCAAAACATTTTGTTTGTACACATTTCCAGCCTGACACCGGATCGGTTGGCGGGGATCTGGACGGACGCCGCAACACCGATTCCCAGTGCCTACAAATAAATGAGCTGAAAATGCAGACAAATCACGGGCGCACAAGGTGAAAAGCTGCCAGCTCAACCCGAGACGAGATGGGAAGAGTAACGTAGGTAAAATGAGTATATACGAATATGGATTGATCTATAATTGATCTGATTGATGTGGACTTTGATATTCCGCCAAGTGTAAAAGAGTAGTAACCGAACCTCGGACTCCTCCTCCTTGGTAATAATAAAAGCTAAAACAAATCTATTTCAATTTATGTAGCTGCGCCAAATTAACCGCAGGCATTCTGTCTCGGCACCGGCAGTTTTCTCTTTTGAAGAATCTAATCAGCTCGCAGTTTGAAGTCTTTCTTGTTTGCTTTGTTTCTGCCTTTGATGAGTATTGATGAGTTTTAATAAATTGCTGATGAATTGCCCCGAAACAAGCCCCAAGACCCAGACCCAGACGCGAGACCCTAGACCCAAGACCCAAGACCTGAGACCTGAGAGCTCCCAAAACACAAACCCAAGCCGGGAAAACAGAATCAACGCCTTGGATAAGTAACAGAGAGCCAAAAATGCATCAACAGCAGAGTGCGCTGCAGATGAGCATTTGAGTGATGCGTTTTTGAAAGTGGCGTCGAATTTCTCAACCGTGAAGCGCCATGCGGAGCAGCAGTAATTGAGATGCTGCTCCATCTCCTCCCGAATGCTACATATTCGTGTGTATGGAGTTGTGGAGAGCGCGGTGTATCCATTTAATTGCCGCCATTATTAAACCCATTTATCGTGTTTTCGTTTCAAAGTGTTTCCATGAGTGTCCATGAGGATCCGGAATGGGCCTGGCATCGGCTCACTTAGGCTCGAGATCGGGATCGGGATGGGGATCGGGATCGGGATCGGGAGATGCTGATGGAGAGTTGCAATTAGCCCGAGCAGCTGCCCATGATGCTGCTGTTTTACAAGGAAATTGAGTTGTTTTGACTAATTAATAAAATTACATTTTGATAGAGAATGAGCCAAACGAAAGACTGAGGAAACAAACTTGCTGGCACACACTTACATATCCACTCCCTGGATGAAAACCTGAACAGTTTCCACATTGTCCACTGGCCAGCTAAACATATTTAGCAATCCGCCGCCGACTTGTTGTCACACTTTCGAGTTCATCAGTGTCACAGCGACCACCATCGTAATGACCGTAATGATCATGATGGTGATGATAATGGCGTGATGATGACAGCCGGGCAACCGGAATCGGAATCGGAATGTTTCCCTGTTTTCACCATAAGTCACATAAAGTCGTATAATTAACATAATCATAATCAACAAAGTATAAACATTAAATTGAGGCTAATTACTTTATAACCGACACTCAACTCAGCTGCGAAACATCTGAGGCAGCGTAGTTGTATGCTGAATTACCCCTGAAAAAAGCAGAAACAAGCATGTTCACTTGTGGCAAACTCGTTTCAATTACGAAGAATCACAGCCTGGCAGATTACACAGCAACAAGAGTTCCCGAAAAATACTTAACCGGATTGAGCAAAAAAGACAAACAAGAGCGACTCGGTGACAGTTTCACACATGCCAATGAAATTTAAATTTAATTTTCTTCTAAATGGAGGCTATGATCACGTATCTGAGGTCTGCAATTACAACGGCAATGATTGAATAAATTACACTGCAAAATATTTTATTACGCAGGGCTCTCTCACATATTCTCTGGCCATTGAAAAGGCCAGTGGTTTTCCCGCAGTGCATCCAGGCAGTAGCTAAACTAGTGCTGCCAGCCGGGTAAGTGAATGAAATTTGAGCCAGATTTAAAGGCAGATTTAACTCAAAAGCCCGCTTCGGATTTTTATGACAAGCACATGGATTCGTGTGTGCAATTGTATGTAAGTGCGCCATATAATTTACAGATAATTTTTATAATTACAGGTTATTTTCAGTTAACATGTTTCCAGTCCCACTGGCTGGTGGCTTCGCTTAACTGGCCGCCAGTGAGAATCGTTGTTGCCGCCGCGGCGATTGCATATAAAGCCGGGGCAATTAGTTCGGTAATTTCCAGGCCTCAAATAAACTCTGTGCAATAATAATTAAGTTGTTTTATGCGATTTAATTCCATCTATTTTCACTAATTAGTTGGCTTAGGATTAGTTGAACGCGGCGAAAAGCGAAATCGAAAGACTTAGGAAACGAACTTGGGGCAGAGTGAAGTATGTAACTTTATCGGTCGGCATGCTAGATACAATTGTTAATATGTATAACATATATATAATTGCTGTTAGTGTGAATTGCATAGTACTGACACTTTTTTGGGAAATCTGGGAAATGAAGACCAACATTACATCAGTCGCTAGAATGTTAGGTACCGTTTGTCGGAAACAATATAAATATGGGTTTATGCGATCAGGAAAGAGAGATTAGGAGGTCATTAAAGATCAGACGGCTTCTTAGAACGAGAGAACCCTAGCTTGCAACTTAATAAGAGAAAATTACCAAGTACCTACATATCTCCGTGCCCCCCTCTGCCATAGCTTTGTCGCCAATTGTGCGTTATGGCCGAAACTAAAAAACTTTAACTATAAATACTGTATCTCTTGGCCGTTGGTCATAAATAAATTTGCCAGTTGCCTTGTTCGCCAGAAAGCAGAAAACAATCTATGGGTAGGACTCCCGGACAGGACAGGGCAGGAGACAGGAAAGAGTTTTGTGGGCTTGGATTGCGATAAAAATCGCTGGCAATTTGTTAAATTTAACGATTTCGAACCGGCCAACCGCCGGCTAACGAAAACTGTGCCGAAACTTGGTCACTCGCCCCAACCCGAACCGAAGGCAGTCGGCCAGCCCTGCCTCTCCCCAGACTTCGACTGTTTTATGACCAAATAAATAATTAAAATGATGCGTAGTGTTAAGTGCCGCCACGTCGCAGAGAGTTCCGAAACTGCCGGCGGAGAATCGCGCCATCGCCATCGCCATCGCCACGATATGCCCATCCAAGCCACACGCAGTCCGTGTCCAGGCCCAGAGAGCATTTCTTTTGAAAATCTGTCATAAATTTATCGCTTTCGCGACCGGGTTCACTAAACCCCCGAACTTGGGCACGTACTTTGTCGCCGTCCGAGCTTAATTGCTTGTTATGTGGCACACATTTTCGCCGCAAATTGGCCGCCAGATATGCGACCATATTGGACGTGACCCTCGGATCACGGACCACACAGCGTTGGAGGGTTCTAGCTGCCAAAAACAAAAATGTCACTATGATCCCCGAGTCTTACCTTAATTTGCCCTACCAGCGGACGAAAATAAGGGAATTTTAATACTCTGGAAATCATGAACATCTTATATTTTCCCTTTTCACATTTTATATATACTAATAAGCTAACTTATTGCAACCAAGACAGAAATTGTTTGTCAGTAAATTATTATTAAACAGTTCTTGAAATATGGCATTTAAAACTTCGAGATCATTTCCTAAACCACACAAGGCAAAAGACAGACATTTCATGAACCATTTTACACATTTGTTTTCTACAGGAGCCTTCAGGGAATTTAAGAAACAACAAACGGATACTTGACTTTCATTACGGACAGAGTTGGTTTCAGAACGAGAGATTAAATCGGTTTAATTTTGATTTTCAGTGGGGTAATATGCTTTATAAGTAATGAGGGCTCAACTTGTTACTTGTCGCAGCTACTTGTATTTGGAGATTTTAATCGGTTTGTTTTTTATGGTCGAAACTCCATAAAAAAAAGCGAAATAAAGATATCCGATGTTAATCTAAACTGATCTCGAAAGGTAGTAATTAAAACCAAAATGGAAAAAGGGAAAATGAGAAAAGGAAAATGGAAAATCAAGTAGCAAGTGCCTCTTATGTACACTTGTGAAATGCTTCCTAGTACACGATTTGTACATTTTCTGGAAAATCTGATTTAGTTGGAAGCATCAGTCTGGAATGGGATGCTTGGGCTTGAGGAAGACCGCCTCGCTGTGTCCAGCAGTGCCGCAGGACATTATGGATACTCTTAGGAGCGAAACTACATGTGAGTTTGGATCCTTAAGAGGATCTAATCGCAGCCCATTTCCATATAGTGAGTCGTAGTCAGATAAGGTACCTGTACAATCGCTTCTGTGCGTTCGCCGGCGGTGGCAAGAATCCCCCCAACAGGCTGCACAAGTACAATTTCTACTCGGGACTTTTGCAATTGAATCCCCTGCTGCCCACCATCTTGAACTGCATGTTCAAGGATAAGGAGACTATCACGTTTCTCGACTTTGCCCTATTCCTTAGCACCTTTCAGGCCCATTCGTTAAGGACCACCGATGAGCTTAAGAACGCGATTAAGGATAAGAAGCTGAAGAGTAAGAGTTCGTATATGAAAGTTATATACACAAAGAATATTAATGAAACGTCTTTTCTGCTCACAAAGTCCTTAGTGAATTCAACAAAAGAAAGCAACACAGATTTCAGTATGGCGAAACAGCAGATTTAAGCGAAAGCATACTTGTTCGTATAATATATTAACGTATTTTTTCCCAGTGCTATTCAACATGTACGATCATAACAAAGACGGTCGCATCACCAAATACGATTTGGTCATTGTTGTCCACAAACTGTTCTCGAATCTGCTGGACCACGTCCAGATAATGCGAATTGTGGACTCGATGATGAAGGAAATGGATCACTCGGATTCGAACCACATACTGTTCGCCGACTTCTGTAAGGCCTTTGAGGTTTTTGACATGACCGAGAGGATGGTCACCTGGATTCCCGGGCTCCACGGAAGATCCATTGATGATTCGCACCACACATTTTCCCAATAGGCACAAATTAAAATGCTAAAAACAAATATCATGATCGAGCTAGAAAACCTTTACACATATACTAGTACTTGTCGGGGATAATCCTATGCTCCATATTTCGTGAATAAACTATTACCTTTTAATTAGTTGTTTATAGATCAAGATAGTGTATATAGTGGGTTTTCAGGACTTTATTGTAGAATCACAGCGATTCCCGGCCATTGAATGCCGAATTTTATGACTCTATTAGGGCGAAATTCATATAAAACGAAACAAGACGAAATAAGGTGAGCGAACAAAACGCCAACCGAAAGCTCATAAACTTTACTACCTTTGACTCTGGCTGACTGTCCATATAGGCGGGATATATGGATAATGTGGATATATAGTCATCGTCGTCGTTACCTTTCCACTCCGTGCCCTTCGCGATCTGCGTTGAAGGAATTTTGGTGGACGACGACTGCCTGTATATTTCGCATAGCAACATAAATAACATTTTATTGGCAATTTGTTGGGGAAATTAATGTGCATACAGTTGGCAACTTTGGTAATTTATGCAAATAAAACGATCGTAAATTTGGCATTAAAACGCTTATTAAATGATCGTTTATTAGCCTTGTCGAGTGTCGGCTGGGATCGGTTTCCCGAATTGGATAAATGCCTCTGGCTCCCGCTTCTTGCTTCTTGCTTCTTGCTTTTGCAACAAGGTTGCGATTTGTAGCACTTGCATAAATTAAGTGATTCACAAAATTGTTCTTAAATGTTGGCAGCTACTTACACGATTGATACAATTTACGAGTACACAACTTGTGGGGAAGGCGCAGCTCTGCACCCCGCACATGTACATATATCTATCTCCGATATCTGGCCATATATTGTTTAATGTATTAGCTGGCGCATTGTGTGTTAATTTGACATTCCTCGGGATGGCAATGGCCAACAACACTCTGCAGTACGACAAACGAGGCTTGTTGCTGTCAAAAGCCAGAATTATAACCATATAAAATCAGTCAGCGCTGGCCACTGATTCTGTCTGCTTCTCATCCTCGTCTTCTTCCTGTCCAGTCCGCGCATCATCATCGTCAGCAGCCCATCATCATCGTCTCCGGCAGGATTAGCTAAATTAATGCGGCGAGCTGGATGCTGGGAACCCGAGCTGTCAACGCTTCGAGTCTTCACTTTATCAAAAGTTTAAGGGGGACTCAAGGAGCAGAGCGGTGAACCGAGCAAAAAAACAGCAAGCTCTCAATGAAAAGTTACCAAAAAATTCGCCCTACAGAATAAATCATTCTGTCAGCCTTATGTACTTGTATGTAAATTAAGAAATATTTAACAGTGGATCGATTTTATGTATTTTTAAGAACACTAAAGAACTAGTTTAGGAATAAAGCATCATGTATCACGGGTTTAATTATTTACTCGATAAATATCTATACAGTAAAAAAAACCAAGTAGACAGTAGTTGTCCTATCAGCTTAAATATTTATGGAACCTTAATCCCCTGAAAACAGCGCATTAATCAATGATCGGCCCGAAAGACGACAAAGCTCATTTCATTCATTGAAACCCTTGTCAAATGTGACATTCCTCCTCTTTCCCTTTTTTTTATTATCTTTCACTCTCCACTCAAAACGAAAAAAAAAATACAATTATTGATTGATAACCCCAACGGTTATGGAAAATATTTCAAAAGCGTTCTTCGATTGGCGAAGTGTTATTTTTACACCACCGACAAAAGTCGCTTCTCGCCCAGAATGTGTATAAATGTGTCTTCGGTCATAGATTCCAAGGAGGAAGTGAAACTCGCATTTATTCATTCAGTGTTTGGATTCATTCAGAGCGCGATCTTTGTTCAATCTGCCCACAGGCAACGACGACCTGAGCTCGAGGCCTGATAATGATATCTTAATAATTGTGACTTATCGAAATAAATTAGGCAAATCGTCTTTAAATAGAGAAAAAGCCACATTAATTACAGTTTTTTGAGGCAATCGGCTTGACTTGGAGTGGAGATCAACTAAATCTCACTAAAAAAACCAACGATGAATTTATATACGAAAATCCATCATCATTCTATGCGTTCTGAGTTGATCGAGGCCAAGGCCTTTGGTAAATTCAATGCCATGCATTTTGACCAGCAACTTACACGACGATTTTATAAATTTATTAATGAATTAAGTTATAACGTAATTTAGCATCATTCACTCCTCCTTCTTCTCTTTTCCCCCGCTTCCCTCTCCCCTGCTCCGTTCCCCGCGGAATGCAATCTGCTCAAAACAAAATGATGATCGCTGATGATCATTGGCAATATATCAGCGGCCGACACGGCAGACCTAATCGAATGTTGTGGGCCCGGTCAGCCGGTCCGCGATTCTCGGAACTTGCCAAAAGGATGCTGTGCAGAGGCACAGGCGGAGAACAGAATTTAAATGAAGCTGTGGCAGAGTGAATACCACGGCAGGCAAGGGGTATGTCTGGGACGCACCATCGACTTAGTTCTATGCCTCGAATGATTAGCCCGGACTGCGAGTGCTTCCCCAATCGTTATCACCAAGAACCGAGAACCAAGTTTCATGTTTATAAATTTGAATTTAAAATTAATTAAGTTGTCGTTTTACGCTTTTATCCAATTTATAACTAATATGACACCGATTATACGAAATATGTTCACTAATTAACGAACAAACACCGCAACTCTCGCGACTCCTGCCGCCGCTCCCCGTGGTCTTCCGCATCCTGTCCTCCGCCTCTGTCTCACCAAGAGCCAGAAATATCCAAAGGCTGGGGCAGACAGTCAGGCTACATTCAATGTCGCCACTGGATCTTCGCTGGTTGTTAACACCGAATACCCTTCAAAGGGGCACAAGCACAACGTGACGTCTTTAATGCTTTGCAAACTTCTAAATAAAATTTTGAATTCCCCAAGGATGCAAATATCTAAATTTTGTCTTTACCAATTTTATATTAAATGACTAAAAAAGGTGTAATCTTGTCTCGGGGGAATTATAATATAAATATGTGAAAGGGTGCTGGAAGCCTTGGTGTCAATGAGTGCGGCAAGTTCCTGCCTTGTTAGTATCTCCACTAACTTGGCTGCTCTCCCGGCCACATGATGACGATGCGGATGGTGGTGATGATGATGATGAGGCTTCTTCCACAGGCAGCTTGGATCGTGTCCGCGTGCTCGTAATCTGCTCGCTGAAGACGCATTGTAAATTGTCTGACAAAGCTTATTTTATTAATTTAAGCCATAAACGCTGGCCTCTCTTGTTGGCTGCTTTCTTGCAGCTCCTTTTTGGCTTTGCATATGCCCCACCGATCTCCCCGGCCGATTCCCGCCACCAATTTATTGCCATCGTAAAAAGCCGTTTTGCGTTTTAATAAGCCATGTTCGGTTCTTTCGTTTCGGTTGTTAACCGAAGGCGTCGACCACTTCCCCAGGCACCGCTCCTCTTGCTCATCCCTTTCTCTGTGGATATTTTTCTCAGTTCCCCGCATTCTTTGGGCATAACTGGGAAATTGGAGTTGAGTTTCAGTGTCCGGACGAGTTTAAAGTGTCGAGAAATTGGCCAATTGAGTGACACTTGTTTATAGAATGCCAAACTAAAGATTGCGTCCACATTTATGGAAGTCGAAGAAGAGGAAGGAAAGCCTGAAAAAAGAAGAATGAACTTTTAAATATGTTTTTGTTGAGATTCTTAAAAACCATGACGATGGCTGCTGATTACGTTTAATAAAAGTTTACTTAAAGGAAATGTACTTCGATTATAATAATATTATAATAATATTAAAAATATTTCAGCTTGGAACATAAGTCCCATTATAGTAACTACTAGCTTACACAATATTATACATATTATTTAACCACTCCGTTTCCTTCATACATATATAATAAATTTCCCACTTCAATTGGACACATTACACAAATAAATAATAACACTGTATTTTTTCTGCAAATCAAATAACCAAGCTGGAGACCCCAACTTGACCCGCACAATCCCACTCAACCCCAGGTGTTGGTCGGAAACAACTCCCACTGTCCGTGTGTGCAGTGCACAATAAAAATAAATATGTCAAAATTAAGTAAGCAGCAAGCATTTCGAAAGAGATAAGGGAAACGCACACACAACAGGTAAGTAATAAAAGGGAGGGCCAAAAGAGGAGAGAGAACCCTTTGCTGGCCATAAAAACAAGGCGTTGAAATCAGTAAAAATTGGAAAAAGCCAACCGAGAGATTCTGCTGAGCAAACAACCTGACCAGCCAGCCCATCAAGATGCCAGCCAAACTCCAACTGCGACTCCATCTCCATCTCCAGGTCCTGGTGCCCAACTCCAAGACTCATCCTCATCCTCAGCCTCATCGTCAGCCTCATCCACGTCCTCGTCCACAGGCGATGGGCATGAAAATCGTTTACAAAATAAATCAGAAAGCGATAAATAAGGATTTTGTCTCGTAATAACTCAGCGGGAGCCATTTAACATGCAATCATAACGAATCGATGCTGAACGCTTTAGCAGACGGACGGAGTCCGGACGGAGTTGGATCCAGGTCCGAACTCAGGACTCATCTCCCAGATGGTTGCACTCGGAGAAATATTGGCTAGCATTCCAAATATTCAGATACACTCTCCAAATAAGGAGTTCAGTTTGGGATTCAAGTGTACAAATATTTAGTTAAGTCCGTTTTTTGCAAGTGCATTAAATCTTGAGTGGAATCGGAATCTGGATCGGAGGATGGCAACACGCTTTCACACCAGGCAGTCGCCAATCGGATGGAATGGGTTCCGTCGCTCGCGGCGGCAGGGGGATCTTGGCCGGGAGTGGCAAGTGTGTATCGAATTGTTGTTGACTTGTCGTTGCTGTTGTTGCTGTTGCCGGGGGCATGAAAATAAAGTTGCAAGCAGGAACAGAACATGGCCAGAGTGGTACCCACTCCAGCTGAGGAGGAGCATATTTCGCACAGTGACAGGGGCGTTGGTGAGTGACGTTTTTAATGCCCGTGCCCCCATAGCACAGGTAACACGCTGCACTCTCGGCTGCGCTTCATAATGCGCCCACAACAATACTGCTTAATTATGTTGTAAAACAATCTGGCAAGCAAGTCCTTTCTTTGCT